CCCCCCCGTCCCCTGGACACGTGACACATCCTGCAGTGCACTACAGCAGGGAGGGGCTGACCCCGCCTCTTGTGGTCCTTAGACGCTGACCATGCACCCCCTGAGTTTCCTTGACTGTCCAAGCCCACCTCTTTGAATAATGGATTTCCCAACTTCTAGACTTTGTCCAAGAGAAGAGCCACGCCCTCCCCAAGGATCCCAGGATGCCAGCAAGACCCCATGGTTTCCTAGCGCCGAGCCACCCTTCTTTGGCCTCCAGGAAAACAGATGGACATGCCCCCTCAGTCACCTGGAGGCTGGACCCCCAGGATCATCTGGAGACTGGCCACACACATCCTCTGCATTTCCCAGGAGCCTGAAAACTGGTCATGGATGGTCAGCTGTCCACTGACTTCCCCTCTCCATCACCTGGTGAGGAAACAGAAACTTTAGGTCCCCCAGGTGACAGCATCCCTGTGTGTGCAGGTGACTTGGAAGCTGGGTATTCACACTCTCCCAGAGAGTCCCCTAAGATTCCCAAGGTAACAACAAGCGGTGTCTTGGGTCACTGGAAGACAGCCGCCCTGACTTCACGGCTTCATGGGAGAATGTCCTCTGTTGGCTCCCAGGAATGGTGGCCACACCCCTCAGGTACTTCTCTAGCCAGAGTAGAATGTCCCTTCCCAGGCATCTTGGGGGCTGTCACCAAAGAGATCATTTCCTCAGACCCAGGGACCCATTTCAGAAATCTCCTCACTTGCCATGGAGACAAGCTGCTGAGCTTTGTAACCATGAATACCACACCTTTCTCTTCTTACCGGCCTGGAGCCCAGACACCACTGCACTTCTGCCTGTCCCCTCCCTGACTGACCACCGTGGAGACAGTCCTCCCCCTCAATGTCCTCAGGGTGACCCAGCACTCAATCTCCAGCCGTCTCGGTGGAAGCAAACTGTTTCTTTCTGGACCGGCACCCCAGCTCCTCCCCTCTGTCCAAGCCCCGCCCCTAGATGGCTCGACCCCCCCCCCACAGCAGTTGCCATGGAAACCAAACTCTGGTGTCCGAGGTAACAGAACACCTGTCCCTCTAAGGCTTCCCCCCCAGGGTCCTGTCCTGCCCAGCTGTTGCCATAGAGACTGTCATTGTCTCCATGACAACGGACCTAGCTCTCAGGAACTTCTCGCCATGGGCCAGGAGCCCCCACCTAGGGTTGCTTACTGTGTCCCATCAGGGGCCTGACGAATGTCCTTTCTCCAGATGGGCCCAAACAGGGTTCTGCTTCAGCCTTGGTTTGCACGCTAGCCAGACAGCAGCTGAGCACAAGCCACCCATGCAAACCCCAATCCCAGCATTTTAGATTACTGCCTTGCAGATCAGGAAACAGGCTGTGGCGCTGCACAAGCCCTGAGCTTTCCCTTTGCTGAGACCCCACCCCTTTCCCTCCTTGGAGAGCCAAGAGGGCAGAATGTTCCTCAACACCAACTCAACCAGGTTCTGAGGGGTGGCGATGTGTGCTCAGAAGTCAGGATTCAGCCCTGAATGGAGAACCAACACTTGGAGACCGCATGGACAAGGTCGCCCCAGCTGAGATCCTGTTCCGAGGAGCCCTTCTGGCTGCTTCATCTATTTGCAAAACCCATCCTTGAGTTTGGGGACCAGGTGGACGTGGGTTCGAATCCACCTCTTGTTCTTGTTCACTGTGTGACCAAGTGACAAAACCTGTCCAGGCTGTTTGCTTCTCTGGACCAGGGTTGTTATGAGGTCCCTGCGAGATCACAGCCTGCAGCAGGGGTTCAGTAAATCTTTCTTCCTTTTGATGAATGAGAAAATGAGTCTACCGTAGATCATTGCGTCATTGGTGCGCCTCCTGGGCTACGGAGCTTCCCAGCAGGGGTTGAGAAGGCTCTCTTCCTCCCAGAGGCCCCTCTCTGCACAGCATAGTTAGGCAGAGCAGTTTACAAATTGTCAATTCCAGGGCCCTATGTGGGTAAAGGCACTTGCCACCAAGACTGAGGAACAGAGTTAGATTCCTGGGACCCACGTGATAGAAGAGAGAATCAATTCCCACAAGCTGTCCTCTCACCTCCACACACCCCCTGAGGCACATGTGCACATGTAATTTTTTTGAGGCAAGGTCTCACTATGTAACTTCAGCTGGCCTGGAACTCGCTGTGTACTCCATGCCAGGCTGGCCTGGATCTCACAGCGATCTGTTTGCCTCTGCCTTCCTACAACAGGGCCTATAACGTAATTTTTGTGTGTGTCAAGTCCTGATCTGATTGTAGAATTGGGGTGGTCAACTATAATTTTTATTTTTTATATCTGTTAGAGTGTATATGGACATACACATGTCACAGCGCATCACAAGTGTGGTCAGAGGAGTCAGTGCTCTTTCCACCATGTGGATTCCAGGGATTGAATGCAGATCGCCAAGTTTGGCAGCAAATGCCTTTATCTGTTTTATTTATTTTTATTTTATGTGTATGTGTGTATTGCCTGCATGTAGGTAAGTGCACCCATGTCGAGCAATGTCTGTGGTGGTCAGAAGAGGCTGTCGGATCCCCCAGGACTGGAGTTACAGATAGTTGTTAGCTGCCATGTAGGTGCTGGGATTCAAACCCAGGTCTTCTGCAAGACCAACCAGTGTTCTTAACTGCTGAGCCATCTCTCCAGCCCAAATGCCTTTATCTGTTACCCACCTCACCATCTCCTGGGTGACTAAGGGGCACACCCATGATTGCTTCGAGCTAAGCAGATCCCTTATCTGCAGATGAGGGACATCCTCGGAGTAGAGATTACATGCTCCAGCTGGGCCTTAGTGGTAAGGGACACACCTTGGAACAGAGGGACCCAAGTTTCTTCCACCCACTGGACCTACCTCCTCTAACAGTTCTCCTGGCTGTGGGATCCAGCTTCTGGGTTTTCTCAGGACTGTGTAAATTTTCTATTCTCTATTCCTTAGTGAAAAGGGAGCTGGCTCCACCCACTTCCTGCCCAGAGGGTTGTGGCCCACTTCCCGGAGTAACCTTGATTGATGGAGGAATGGATGAAATGCCAAACCATGTGTCCCAGCATGGGGTTTGGATGGGGCTAGTGTGTACAGGCAGCCTTTGGTCTGCAGGGGTCCATGTTCTCATAAAGGGCAGATCTGAGGCTATAGTTCAGAGGCCCAGTGCATTCGAGAGGCCCTGAATCCATCCAAGAACTGGAGGAAAAGAGAGAGAAGAGAAGAGGGAGAGAAAAGAGGAGAGGAGAAAGAAGGAAACAAAGAAATAGAGAAGGAAGGAGAGGGGGGGAGAGAAAAACAGAAAAAAGGTGCGGGTCACCAAGGCCCACCTGAGGAGTGCCAAGACATGGTGCCTGAATCAAAGCATTCCTGATGCCAGTTTCTGAAAACCATCTTTTGCCTGTTCTTCACCACCCAGTTCACATCTGAGACACACAGAGTTTCTGACATATCTTTCTAGACATGTTTTATGTTCATTCAAGCAAACATACTTTAGCAGCTGCCCCTTGGGGTCATAGGGATACCCTTCTTCTACAAATACCAAAACTCCCGGATGCTCACATCCGAAAAATGGAATAAGATTCTTGGACAGACAGGATGGCTCAGTGGGTAAAGGTGATTACCACTAAACCTGATGACCTGAGTTTGATTCTTTGGACTCTTATGGTGGAAGGAAAGAACCAAATCCCAAAGTTTGCTGTCTGGCCTCCGTATGTGTATCATTGTCACGTACCCCCTGTCTCCCCATACCTAAACAACAACAAAATGGATGGAGGCCTACTGGAAGGAAGCTAGGTCATTGGGGGTGTACCCTTGTCAAGAGTATTAGAACCTGGCCCCCTCCTGCCTCTCTGCTCCTCAGCTACCTTGAGATAAACAGACACTTCCTCTATAGACTCAGCTATGGTGTCTCCCGCTGCCCCAGGCCCAAAGCAACGTAACCATGGATTGAGAGCTCAGAAACCATGAGCCAAATAAACACCCCATCTTTTTCCCCTTATGTCCCCTCCCTTCCTTCCTTCTTCCTTTCCTTCTTTCTTCTCTTACTGTGGGTATGAAAACCAAGGCTCAGTATGTGTAATACCCACCACTGAATACCTTCCTACTCCCACGCCTGCTATTTTGATAAAGATTTCTACCCCTGAACAGGGTATGATGGCTCACATTTGTCATCCCAACACTCGGGAGGCTAAAGAAGGAGAATTGCTGTGAGTTTGAGGCAAGCCTGGGCTACAGAGTGAGTTCTTGGTCAGCCCGTCTATAAATAATAAATAATAAATAAATAAATAAACAAACAAACAAACAAACAAACAGCAAGCTCTCTGCTTGTGGACTACACATCTCTGGTCATCAGTTTGGACCTAGCTCTCCAGCACAGTGTGTAATTACTTTTGTTTTCCTTCCTTCCTTCCCTCCTTTCTTTCTTTTTGTCTTTTTGAAACAAGGTCTTCCTGCAGTCCCAGCTGGCCTTGAACTTGCTATGTAGGCCAGGCTGACCTTGAACTCACAGGGATCTGCCTGTCTCTGCCTCCCAAGTGCTGGGATAAAAGGCAGGCACCACCATGCCCAGTTTCCTTTCTTTCTTAAAAAATATTAGGGTTTAGGGGCTGGAGAGATGGCCCAGTGGTTAAGAGCACTGACTGCTCTTGTAGAGGACCCAGTTTCAATTCCCAGCACCCACATGGCAGCTGTGAACCATCCTTAACTCCAGTTCCAGGGGAATCTGATGCCCTCTTCTGACCTCAGCGGATTGCATGACACAGGTGCACTCACATACATGCAGGCAATACACTCATACACATAAAATAAAAATAATAAAATATTTTTTTAAATATTAGGGTTTATTTATTTACTTTCATTTTAAGTGTATGAGTATTTTGCCTGCATA